TAAAACTCTGCTTCTCCAAAGACCTGAACCAATGAAACCTGCATTCAAAAAATAATTTGTAGGCTTCTTTTATCAAACATCAGCACAAGAGATAAATCTTGTTTCTTATATGAAAGATGCATTTGAGAAAGTAAGAAGCAGCAGAACAGAGCACAGTCATTTCAGACTAGCACAATAGCTAAAATTTTTCTTTTTCATTATACAAATTCAAAACCACAGACCATTCCATGCTCATGTACTTGAAAGTTAGAAAGCTGCTCCTTGGTCAAATCACTAGTTACGGTAGAGATGATGATAGCATTGTTAAGCTCCTGTAGCTTTGGAACACAAGCTTAAGCACGGTTTTGCCCAACATCCTTCTCTGAGAGGAAGAAGTTGCTTGACAAGTCCTATAGGTCGACTTCGCCATCATGATGCAAGGTTACAGACTTGACACCAGCAAGGACAAGGTATTTTTGCTGCATGAATTGAGTGGTCATAAGCAAATCATATACACAAATCTGAATTCTCGTAAGAAATTTAAAATTGACAAGCTAAGAATGATATACTAAACGATAAACATAGATACAATGAAAAGAACTGACACACTAGGGCAAACATGTTTTGCTTTTAGATCAGCGAAGCTCACATGTTGCACCGGAGACTAAAAGCATTACATCATAAATCCAATTTTAGAGAGCAACAATGCTTAGCTACCATTGGACGATAAAACTTGTTCAATCCTTTGGCAAGTGACACAGGAGATCTAACTGACCTGCAACCAGGTGTCACTTCAGGATAGCAATTGATACTGAGGACCAAAACAGGGTGAGCTTAATGTGCATGTGCGGTGCAGAAAGCTTTGGCATAATAAGATGTGTAGATATAAACATTCTGAAAGTATCTTAGGTGCAACGCTGCGTCGAGACAGTTTCAGTTCACAAGAATAAAGTTGAAGCTAGTCTCAGAACAAGTATTCATGTGTAATCACAAAATGCACTGGTATAACTTGATGTTTTGAATACTTAACACATCCATAAGAGTACTTGTAGGAAAATTGAAGAATTTAAGATAAGGTTTCTGTTATACAAGTTCAAATGTTACTGAAGTGTTTATACAAACATGGAGCCTAGTGTACTGCTAGTATATTCAATCCAGTATGGTTTCAAGAAAAGAAATCAACAAACAAACTCCAACGTACTGCTAGTATATTCAGAGAAGGAGCTAGTGCCACTGTCATAGTCTGGTTTAGCCTCTTCATGATTAGCCTTAGGAGCATATATCAGTGCAAGCTACAGAATGAGATTTACTAGTATGACGACGCACATGTGACAAGCATACAAGAAAGGCCGTCGATCAAGCTTTTGGTCTAGAAATTAGGATAGGACACTGCTGTGCAATCAGTGGAGGACCCAGCTCGAAAATGGAGGTCGGGCGAGCTTAGACAAAGTACAGAATTTTTGGCTCAAAAAATGATGCTCATACGTATCATAAGCAGGAGTTGTAGAACGACAAACAAGATTGAAGATGTTAGCTATATTAAGCAAAGAATCAACAGGATTGAAGATGCCAAGAATATAGAAGAATATAGAAAAATGAACTAAACTCTATATCCTCTTCTGTCCCCAAAATATCAGCACAATTTTCCAAATCAACAACATATTTCAGAGTCAGGTCGTTGTGATCTTGACACCACAATAACAGAGGGGCAAAGGGTCCGTGTTTGCCGCCGACCTGCCCTGACGCATGCAGGAGCAGACCGCAGGCGCATGCGCGCTCGTTGCGATCATGCAGGGGCACGCACAGGCGCGCCGCTGCGCAGGGACGCCTGCTGGGTGTCGGAGGTTGGGGGCCGGGGCACCGGGAGCGCCGACGCCTGCTGGGTGCCGGGGGCTAGGGGCTGGGGGCTGGGGGCTGGGGGCCGGGGGACCGGGGGCACAGTGCAAACAAGCTGAATCTGAAATGAAAGTCAACAGAACAGAACAAAACGTCACCGCCGCCGCAGCCTCCGACAACACCGTAGACACAGAAGACAACGCGGCGGCGGCCGCCGCCTCAGACAACGCCGCAGCCGCTGCCTGCGACAACGCCGCGGCCAACGTCGACAACACGGGCACCGCCACTGCAGACAACGCTGGGGCCAACGTCTCGCAACTCCCACAACACGAATTTCAATTTGACAAGCGGGGGGATTCGAGTCCACAATGAGGGGAGCGAAATTAGGTGGGGTGACTAAAATTTAGAAGGTGTCACGTGAGAATATTGTATGGGATGTTCGGATACTAATAAAAAAACAAATTACAAATCCGTGAGTACTCCACGAGACGAATTTATTAAGTCTAATTAATCCATCATTAGCACATATTTACTATAGCACTACATTGTCAAATTATAGACTAATTAGACTTAAAAGATTCATCTAGCAAATTAGTCGCAAGCTGTGCAATTAGTTTCGTAATTAGTCTATATTTAATACCTCATGCATGTGTCAAACATCCGATGGGACAGCGACTAAAGTTTAGAAGAGAAACAGATCACGAAACAGAAAACAATCTGTACAGATAAAAAACACGAATCTAAACATACATCTAGACCACACAAAAGTGGAAGAAAACAGCACAAAAAATATGCTGGAAGATAGTTAGAAATTCCAAATCGGTTTTACCAATGATAACTGTTTTTGTACTGTTTCCCCACGAAAGGGTTCTAGTGCTGTGGTGCACGGGGAGGGATATGTGCCGATTGGGGTGGCGCCGAGTCTCTTGCGTCGACTACGTGATCAGAAATTAATCATACGTGGGTTTATTACAGTGGGCTGAAAAGACTACATTGGGCCATACATAAAAAGCATTGCGGGAAGCAAGTATAAACATAAAAACGCAACACTATATATTGGGCTATACATGAAAAGCAGTGCGGGAAGCAAGTAGTAAACAGAAAAACGCAACATGCGTGCAGGTACTTTTGCTGACATCATCAATATGCAACAGCGTTTTGAAAGTTTAAAAAGTTGTATTTCCTAAACCGAGTCTCAAAATTAAATTCCGATTACACCATTGTGTTTCTTAAGATAAATCCTTCAAAACAAGATCTCATATGGATACATTTAGAAAAAAAAGTATTAGATAATATTTTCCTCAGATAGAACTTTTTTTAAGAAAAGATAGAACATTTTTTATTGAGCAGATATGGTGTTCAAAGTCCTTCTAAATTAAATATATATATATATATATATATATATTTATGACATAAAAATACATTATATAAAGAAAAAAAAATATTTTGTTAAATCCCACACAAAAGATAATCATAGAAATCTCATTGATACAGTGTGAACATAACAAAATACATTATAAAACATCACGTATATATACTACGTTAGCATCACAACAAAAAACATAAGAAAAAAAACAAAATAATAAAAAGAACATCACATGTATACTATATGAACATTATATAATACATTGTAGAACATCACATGTATACTACATAAACATCAAAAAATATATTGTAGAACATCACATACTACATGAACATCACAATATACATCATAAACATGACATGTATACTACATGAACATCATAAAATATATCTAGAACATCACATCTATACCACACTAACATCACCTCTCAATAAAATACAAAAATTAAAAGGGTAAAAACTACGTAATAGGAAAACAAACAAGGAATAAAATAATACAAGAAAAAATAAAATATAAAAATAAACTATCTAGTGTGAGTGGGGCCACCATCTACAGTCTCCAGACACACCATGCACTAACTATATAGCCTATATCTAGTAACCCATCAACGAGCAAGTAAAACATAAAATAAAAAATAGAGTAAAAGAAAAGAAATATAAGAAATATTAGAAAATAAACAGAGGAAAACAACCACCCAAGGTATAGAAAAATAAATTAAATAAATAACTTAGATAAAGAAGACAAAAAATAAAAAAATTACATATACTACACGAACATGATATATATCTTATGTAATAAATTAAAAATAAAAAGATAAAACTAATTCATAGAGTAAATTAAAGAAAGAAACGTAAACAGAAAAGAAAAAGAATACATAGAAATAGAAATAAAAGAAAAACAAAAAATGAAAATAATTAATTAGAGTAAAGTAAATTTAAATAAACAAGAGTTTAAAGAATAAATAAAATGAAAAGAATTAAAGACCATAGAAGAAATATAAAAGGAAAAAGAAAAAGAAACAAAGCTAGAAAAGAAAACCAAAAAATATTAAATATAAATATAAAAGGGAAAATAATAAATAGAATAAACAGATACTAAAAGGAAATAAATATATAGAAAAAATAGAAAAAGCTAACGTCATGGAGGACCTACGTGAATCTAGCCACTCCATAAGCTAGCGCGTCGGCAGAGTCTGCTTCTCTATGTGATGTGATATGGGCCTGGTGCACTTAGATTCTCCGCCCAAAAATAATAATCTGCAAAGGTGGTCGACGCCACGACTTGCATCCGACTGATATGGGCATAGTGCTTTCTGTCTAGAACTCAGTAAACAGCCTTTTTGTTGAGTGTTCAATAAAAAGTACTCGGTAAAATCAAAGACACTCGATAATTGACCTAAGGATTTGGTCCGAGATGACCGAATTCCAGTGAAAATCACCTATTTCGGTGAGTCCTGAAATAATATTATACTGGTCAAAAACTTTTGACTAAATTCATAATTTTAGTCAAGTCTAGAGTTAACAGGGGTACGGGTCCAGTTGTACATGGATTTTCCAGTCGAGTCCAGAGTCCTCTTCCGCACAAGCAAAGAAAAGGGTGAACAAACAGGTCCTGTTCCTGGCGTCATGGATTACGTGTGCTCAGAAGACCGTCGTCATGCATGACATGACTTCACACATGGGAAATGACTCTGGCGCACCGGCTGATGTGCGTCCCGTCTATAAAACTGTACGAGGAGGACACCAGACCATCAGCAGCAAGCTGAAGCGTTCCACTACAGAAACGAGCCATCTCTTTTATTCTTTCGCAGGCAGAGGAAATGGCCGGCAGCGGGGAGGAGGCGGCGGCGGCGGCGGTGGTGCAGAACAAGAAGGTGGTGCTGAGGAGGCACGTCACCGGGTTCCCCACCGAAGACGACATGGAGATCACGGTGGGCACTACCGAGCAGCGTGTGCCGGCGGGCCTGACCGCTGTGCTGATCAAGAACCTCTACCTGTCCTGCGACCCCTGGATGCGTGGCCGCATGAGCAAGCACGACGACGGCGCCAACGTGCCGGCCTCGGACTTTGTGATCGGAGAGGTACGCGTCCAAATTTGCTCCACCGGCCACCGCCGATTAGTCTCTTGTTAAGCGCCATTTGGAGCTTTAGAAATTAGAATCATAGGTGAAGAAATCTGCATGCGATTCATGAATCAGGCCATGGTCAATTTCGGTGTGGGCAAGGTGATCGACTCGACGCACCCAGAGTTCGTCGCCGGCGACCTCGTATGGGGGATGAGTGGATGGGAAGAGTACACCCTCGTCACCCAGCCGGAGTCCCTTCACAAGATCAACCACGCCGACCTGCCGCTCTCCTACTACACGGGCGTTCTTGGTCAGCAACCTGCATTTTGTCTTGTTCCTCCATTCTCCTTTCAACATCTACTAGTAACTGACTGACGATGCGATTCTGGAACCACCACTGCGACGTTGCAGGCATGCCGGGGCTGACTGCGTACGCTGGGTTTACCCAGGTCGCCAGGCCAAACAAAGGCGACTTCGTGTTCGTCTCAGCAGCGTCGGGCGCCGTCGGGCAGGTCGTCGGGCAGCTTGCCAAGATCGCCGGCTGCTACGTGGTCGGCAGCGCCGGCTCCGACGAGAAGGTGAGCCTCCTCAAGACCAAGTTCGGCTACGACGACGCCTTCAACTACAAGTCCGAGACCGACCTCAGCGCCGCGCTCAAGCGCTGCCTCCCCGACGGCATCGACATCTACTTCGACAACGTGGGCGGCACGACACTCGACGCCGCGCTGCTGCACATGCGCCACGGCGGCAGGGTCGCCGTCTGCGGGATGATCTCGCAGTACAACCTGGAGGAGCGGGACGGCCTGCGCAACCTGTTCTGCATCATCCCGAAGTCCATCCGGGTGGAGGGGTTCAACGTCAGTCGCTTCCATCATCTGTACGCGAGGTTCGAGGAGGAGATGGCTGGGTACATCAAGGACGGGAAGGTCGCCGTCGTGGAGGACGTCGTCGAGGGCATTGAAAGCGCACCGGCAGCTCTGATCGGGTTGTTCTCTGGCAAAAATGTAGGGAAGCAGTTGGTTGCTATTGCAAGGGCATGAGTTGAAGCAGGAACTACATCGTAGTGACGAGACGAGCAAAACAAGTTTTGTGCTACTTGTGTGATGACAGCGCGGACCGGCGGTAATAGAGCTGCTCTGTACCGGTCCTTGTTATACGTAATAAGAGAATAATATCAATGTTGTGTATTGTGTTGGGAGAAAAAAACATATTTATAATTTGCATTTCATCAGCATATTCACATCTGAATGAATGCCAGTGTAGTTTTATTGGAAGTTGATTTCAGTCATGATAGATCAACGAATTAGCAGTCGATTCACACTGATGTTATTCCGTTGTATTACTAACGTGGTTATTATGGAAGCAAGCCAAATGGTCCGCTTTCAAAAACTAGATGGTCTAATATTCTCTTGGTTTCCTTTTCCCTGAGAGTGGTAAATATCACGTTTTTAAGGTGAAGGACAGCTAGGTTTTCAACAAAATAGAAAAGGATACCAATCACATTATGGGACAATTAAAAACTTGTTTTTGGGAAAAACTACCAAATTAGATGTTGAAAGCTCTCTCATGAGAGGGATCTCATAGTGTGTTGTTGGTCGGTTTCACTATTAAAAAAAAGATTTTTAGAGACGCCCCCCTTTTCTAACAGAAGCGGTTTTCTTAGTACGTCATCTCTAACCTTCGCCGGAGGCACTGTAGCTATACAACTGTTGCTAAAAATCATTTTTTAGGGGCGGTTCCATTAAGAAAACCGCCCCTAGAAATGTTTCTGTTTTTAGGGACGGTTCTATTAAGAAAACCGCCTCTGAAAATACGATTTTCAAGGACGGTTGCCCATGTCAAATGTCTCTAATACAAGTAATTTTTAGAGACGGTTTTGTTAAGTCCACCGCCCCTAAAAATCAATTTTCAAGGGCGGTTGACTAAGTTAACCACCCTTAAAAATAGTTGCAGCACAAATAATTTCATATCTATTTTAAATTAAGTCGGATGAAGACAAAGTTTATATAAAAATTGTAGAGCTCGACGAGATCTAAAACTTTATAGTCGATAAAATTTTTGTTTGAGATCATTTAGGATTCCAAATATATAAATTAAGTCTTAGATTTTGAATTTCAATTTTTTTTAATTTTTTAAATGACCTTGGATGGAGAAATGTCCTCTATCAAAGTTGTAGTACTCGATGAGATCTTAAACTTTGTACCTGAAAGTTTTCTCATTTAAGATTGTTTATAAGTTAAAATATTGATTGCAAGATTCGTGTAAATTAGTATAATAAATAGACAGCATCGTAGAACTAGACATAAGTGACTGTGTGGTGTAATGGTATGGCATGGAATGCGCGAGAAAGATGTTGTGGGTTCGATGGTGTCTGCACTTATGCACTTATTCAAAACAAGTGAAAAATAAATTTTGTAAGCTATGGTTGGTCCTCAGCCCTGCGGACTTATTTTCAAAGGCTGAAACCTCTGAAAATCAATTATTTTTACAATCGGTGGTATAATGGCTGAAACCTCTGAAAATCAATTATTTTTACGATCAGTGGTATTGTAGCAGTTTTTCAAGCCGTTCCTGAAAACCGATTTTAACCATCTGTGAAAATCTTTTTTGTACTAGTGTTTGCCCTAGCAAGGTCAGCTAACAAGCCTAGGTACTTTTTTTAGATAATGGATTTTCATTAATCAGAGCTCTATATTCATGAAGAATATGCTTGTAGCCATTAGATTAGAAAATAAACACCGCTAGTGTCTTCAGAAGTTTTTATAGAACCATCACATTCAAGAGTACTTTCAGCAATTAATCTTCCTTTAGCAACCGCCGATTCCATTATTGTCAAAACATATTGCAATTATTTGTACTACGATCAAACAAGTTATACTATTATATACGTTCATATAACTGTTGTCGTGATGGCATGGCTGTGTGAAAAAATGCCTACTTCATCCAATTCTTTTGTGTAGACAGTTTTAACGCCAAGTAAATGAATGGTCTAGATTTCTCATATATCCATTCCGCTATAAAGGTATTGAAGTCCTCTGCGACTTTTGTGAACAGTGACAAAATTCTATAAAGCTAATAAGATGCCCTATAACAATGATGAACACGAACAGCACAGTCTGACGTATTTCATAATATGGATGAAATTAATTTCTGAAATTACTCTATCTAAACCCCTTCTAATAAGCTGATTCGATCCATAAGACTTGATCTAAAATATAGTGGATTAAAAATTTGCATCTCACCTAGGGCAACCACGCAACAAGCATGGCAACAAAACTCTCAGCGATCCACTCGTTCCTTCCATCCTTCTTTTTCTGCACTTCGCGACGATCCTCGTTGCTACGACCGTAACACTGTTTCAATCTACGCCGAATGCGGTATAGCCATCAAGGATATCAAGGGAAAGCAAGAGACTAAGGGCAAAGCAAAGAGAGAGGATGACACCAAACTGGTTTTTAGGGAAGGACAGGCCTTAATTCTCTTTCTTCTTTTTGTCCCTTTTTTTAATTTCTCCTTTGCACATAATCGAGCGCGGGCTGTGCTAGGTATGGAAAATATGTGTGCTACAGGTTTTGGAGAGACCAAGATCAAAATGTGGCAGCGCTGGGAGAAAAAGAAATGGTTGCGGCCATAGGTTGATAATAATCTCTATCTCTTCTCTTCTCTACTATATATATACACATAAAAGACTCTAAAATCATTATCTGTCCGGTGATACTGTCGACGAAATCTAGTCGGCAGTCTACCGGCGGGTATACCCACGGTAGTAGATGATCGGTGGAGGTGCGCGTATGTCAGTGCGGGACCCACGGGATACCCCGCAAGGAAGGGAGAATACCTAGTCTAATTAGGATTCTTCCCCTGTAATCTTAGTAGCAGTATTACTCTGTAATTCTACTAGGAACTCTCATTGTAAACCGACTAAGACTCTGGCCTCCTGACTATATAAAGGAGGGCATGGCTCCTTGGATCGGGAGTTCAAGAGAACAATTGTACGACACAACACTTTACAATCAATCCAACGCAAAGGCTAACGCCGACTGGACGTATGGCTTTTACTCGATCATCGATCGAGGGTCCGAACCAGGATAAATCGACAGTCTCTTGCGTTAACCGTTGAGTTCTGCATACGCTGAAGCCCGAACATACTGCCCCGGGGACCCCCGTGGCAGGCTATCGGTGGTCAAACATCGACAGCTGGGGCGCCAGGTAGGGGCTTTCGGCGACTTTGCACCCGAGAGCTCGATGGATCTCGACATCATGATCTTCTCAAAGGATCAATCTTCATCTTCGGTTCATGGATCTGCGAGGCAGGCGACGATGGCAAGCTCCAAGGCCATCTCCTCGAAGATTCAGATCATCATCAGGATTTTTCCATTTCGGCGACAACGACAGATCAACTTGCTGGAAGATTCGCGCAGCTCGTGATGTCCAATCCAACTTAGATTTCGTGACTTCACGCATCCGATTCAAATTCAGGTTCCGCTTCCGAGACGGAGTCTTATCCGAGTTCTTTCGGAAAACCAAGTTCTTTTCCGATAAAGCTCCGGAACACGACGTCAACCTATCAAGAATACTATTCGGAGTACACTCGGAGTACTTCAAAGAAGTCGGGTCCTCTTCCGTTCGGACTCCACAACATGGCAACATCTCATCAGACATGGCCCGAAGGATCCACCTATCCCGTGCTTAGAATGCCGCAGAAGGGAGCCCAGGAAGGTCTCGTCTTAACTATAACATCTCAAGACTGCATCGTCCATTGTCTAGGTTCCGTTCCTAAAGATGACGGCACCCAATTAGTTGACGATACGGCAACAACAACTCTACCCTACCAAGAAGGAGACTCGATCTGTGACTTTGAAACCTCTACTGAAGTTATCAACAGCTCTAGCAGTACGGAAACCAACGACGATGACAGAACAACTCACGCTAGAGAAGTATTCATGATTCACCATCCTCGATCACCATTAGTCCCCCAGAGGCACCCGACGTCAGGTCTTTAGATGAATCTGAAT